ACAATAAAGACGAAAACAACCAGAGTTTTTGCAGCGGCTAAATCATCTACAGCTTACTCCTTTGCCGTGGTTCATTGCTGTTGCTGCCATTAACCGAAGAATCTTTCCTCCCAGCCTTCTTGGCTCTACCAGCCCTTTCAAGATTCCCATCTGACAGCGTGTATGCCGGCCTATACCCGCCCGAGCCATCACGCAGAAGCTTGTTTGGAACAGTGTTGTGTATGCTGCCAATAGAAGTGTACCTGACGGCAGAGCGACTGTAGTTAATTAGATGCATGATACTCGCTTAGAAATTTTGTATGGAAGAGCAGAGCTAACAGACTACCAGTGCATGCATCATAGTACATTCTAATTTTTGATAGGTTGTACCTTGATCTACAGGGGAGAAGGCAACCTAACATCGTCTACCAAAAAGCGTACAGTCTGAACATGCACTGAAAAGAACACATACCCTTGATCATAGAGGATGCAGTATAGGACCTTGAAGGTTAACAGGAAAGACCACACGTCGCTGTCACAGCAAGCAAGGCATTAGAATTAGCAGCTATCCAGGTCGAATATATAAAAAATTTGATTGAAAAAAGGTCGAATATAAAAAAACAATGCTCTCTGATTCAGGAATAATCAGGAGCCAAACCTGTAGGACCAACCCAAGATAGGGTTCACCCTCATGAAAGAAGGCCAGCAAGGTGAACTAGGGGAGAACTCTTGTTGACCAACCTACAGCAATTTCACACCGTAATTATATGGACGTGGATTATGCAAGAACATGGAGAAATCCCCCAAATTACTGCAAAATGCCATATATAAACCAGTAGAGGTGTAGAATAAAAGCAAAATAAATAAATTAAGGCCCGTTCGAGGGAGGAATTTGGAGGAATCTGGAGGAATTTGTGAGAGAATGAATAGTATTTTTATTCATAAACAGTGTTTTCCGGCTGAATTTCAGGGCAGCCGAACGGCCCCTAAAACGGGATCATTCGAGGGAGTCACCGCATTGGGATCACCGTTTCTAGTGCCAAGGAAGATTGCCTTGGTAGGCTTCTCCTTGAGCAGGGCTTCTAGGCCGGACTTGTAATCTGCCCTGATAGTTTCCAGTGGCAAGCCGTAACTGCACAACATTGGGTATCAATTTGTCAGTCAAGAAAAACAAATGATGGATATTATAAATTGCAGCTGATCGATCGAAATCTCGTTCTTACGTCGATGCCGTCTCATACATGAAGCGATCGATTTCGGGGAAAGTATTGGGGTTCTCGAAGTAGATGGTCCGCATGGGGCAGTTTTTAACGGTTTTGGTCTCGTTCGCTTCGCTGAAAAAACAAGTCGAAACACTATTTCTGTTGATTTGTTGTGAGAGAAAAACACTATTCCGACCGAAAAAAAGACGGATTATAAAAGAAGCGAACATGACCATTATGGACCGTGCTGTCTGAACTTGTTCTGTGAAGGTAGTAGCCTGCCCGAAGCAAATGCAGCAGCACCTGTACGTCGAGAGTCGATTCAACGCAATTGCGTCGGTGGTTAGTAACCATCATGAACGTAAATAAATCAATATATAAGTTAATGGAAGAGATAATGAAGAGCAGGTGAGAGCAGGAAGAAAGTACAGTTGAATCTTTGCCGCCATTGAAGCTGAAAGCGAGTTCCTCGAACCTGTAAAGTAAAATCTCTGAGAAATCACACAAACTGTAACCAACTGCCACTCATGCATCCACCCAACCTAAAAACTAGAGTAAATAAAAAAGCGGTAGAACAAAGTAGATCGTAGGTAGAAGCAACTACCAGTGACATATTTGCGCATGCGCGCCATATGTGACGTACTACTAGACAGTAGACAAGAAGAAGACCAGAGATACAAAAAAAAAAGAACACAAGAAGGAGACCAGAGTTTATCTGCACATGTATGTTTCAATGTTTGTCAGTTGGATGGAAAACGTAAGAGCATCTTCAAGAGGCTCCCTATATTATTCATAAATGTTAAGAATAGAGATTTTGATAAAAATCACCCTCCAACAGCTTTCTAAAGGGTTATAGGGCGCTCGTTAATTTGAGTCAGTTTTTCAAAATTCATCGTTCTCGGCTGAAAAACATTGTTCACTCTCTCACAAATTCCTCCAGATTCATCCAGATTCCTCCAAATTCCTTCAAGCGGACATGGCCATAGTCATCTTGTAGTCCGGATTTTTCGCTAGCTAAAAATAGAAGACGAGAATGACTCTACAGAGTCATGCGCGATGTATAGAAAAACTGTTGAAGAGTGAAACAATATAGAAAACGATTTTTATACAAATGACTCTAAACAATCGTTTAGAGAGTGAGATTTAAAAGGCTCTCGGATATGCTCTAATAACCCTCTTTTTAAGTTTTCAACACATGACCAATGCAACCGTGTACTGATCACGAACCGGGCCTTGATGCTGTATGGCTCGGGGCCGTGGTGAAGTAGCTAGTGCTGTGTATACAGAAGAGTAGAGAGCGTGCGCGTGGCGCGTGGCGTACGTACGGGTACAACGCGTAGGCGCGGCGGATGATGTAGACAGCGGCGTCGTACTTGGCGCGCAGCCGGGCGTCGCTGCTGCCGCGCACCGCCCGCTCGATCTCCATAGATGCGCTGCTACGGTCAGGCCGGGGTCTCGCGGCTGCGACTAGCGATCGCCGATCGGCAGATAGACGACCGATGGATGGTTCGTTGGCAACGCAACTACGCAAGCAGAGACGAAGCAGCTAGCGCGAGGACGAGAGCGGCGGCGACGCGGTTCGAAGTCTGGTGGCACGCGTGCGTTGCAATCGTGCATGACCGGACCTTAAAGCACACGAGCAGACAGACCGAGAGGGCGTGTTTGGAACGCTGGCCCGACGGCCCGGCTGCGCTCGTGGGCTGCAACTCTCTTGTTTGTTTCGCTGTTCCTGTTCCTCGGCCTAGCTCGCACGCTGCTCAAAGCACACAAGGGCCTGGCTCCCAGGAAACGAAGGGGAGCTTCGTTTTTTTACAGCCTGGCCCGGTGGCGCGAGCGGGTGAGCCCATGGAGCGAGCGGTGAGGGATTGGGTCACCTCCTGGGCTCTCACCGTTGTCCGCTCCCGCAGAAAGGGTAAGGCAATGCCGCCGGCCCGCCGCCGCCGCCGTTCTCGCGCGACCTCCTCCAACGACCTCCGTTGATCCAGGGGCGCCTCCTCTAGCTCCCATCCCCCCATCTTATCCCCCGCATCATCCCCTTCCCTGCCGAAGTACTGCGCGCCCAGCTCGTATTTCGCCACCGCCGCCACCCTGGCCGCCGGGAGTCACTACTGGCGAGGACCCGTGCTGGGGTTGCACGGGTGCCATCCCCCTTCTTCCCCACCAAGCCACCACCACCACCGGCAGCAGCACCTCTGCCGTCCCCGCGGTGGTGGATTTGGGGCACGAGTAGCTCCCCGCGGCGCCGGAGACGGAGGAGGGCCCGTCGTCGTCGTCGAGCGCGCTGTGGAGGGCGAGCTGGAGCGTGAGCCTGAGCCCGAGCCCGAGCACACGACGCACATGGAGCGGAGCAGGTCGGAGGCGGAGCTGCTGCCGCGGACCGCGGTTCCTCCCACACCACCTCCTCCCCCGCACGCGTCGCACATGGAGCGGAGCAGCTTCGTCCGCGCCGCCCCGGACCTCCTCCTCGCGCCACGACCTCGCCCGCGCGCTCTGCCTACCCCATCTCCTCGTTCTGCCGTGGTGCTGGTCCTGCTCTTTTCCTCGCCCCCGTCTATCAACTGTTACATGGAATGCCCGCAAGGCAGAGAGGGGAGGTAACGCCAACATATCCAGATACTGGGGTGATCATATCCATCTACCAAACACAATCTGTATTGGGCCAGATCCATTTAGCGCGTGTTTAGTTGGGGAATTTGGTTTGTAGTACTTTCGTTTTTATTTGTCAATTAGTATTCAATCATGGATTAATCAGGCTCAAAACGTTCGTCTCACGATTTCCAACAAAACTGTGCAATTAGTTTTTTTTTCTATCTACATTTAATACTCTATGCACGTATCGTAAGATTTAATATGATAGGTACTGTAACACTATTTAGAAATTTGGTGTTCCAACTAAACACGGGCTTAATAGAGGCAACCAAATAAGTGGCCTTGTACCACTTCGGACAGGCTCTGGCTGGCCTGGGACAGGCCCGCGGGCCGAGCCAACCTCGGCCATGCTTTCAAACACGCCCAGAGAGACGCAAGAGAAGAGACCGGACTAGAATACGGAGGCCTCGCCGGCGTGGGCTGGACCTCGGACTTGACCTGGTATCGGAATACGGGATTCACACGTGCGGCGTGGACGTGTGGTGATTCGTTATGGGCTAACGGCCCAGCCAGTGGGCCTGACCTTGTTGCCTCTGCCCATGGAGCATGGCATGGGCGAGACGGCAGAATGGGTAACGCAAGCCCAGAAGCCCAAATTAGGGTTTCCTGATTCCTCTGTTTCCAGCAGTCCTGCTCGCTCCCTCGCTCGCTCGCTCTGCCGTCCGCCTCGCTCCACCACCGGCGGCCGCGCGCACCGCTGGCGTTGGGGCACAGCCGCACAGGAAGACCCCGCCCCCGTCGACTGAAGCCTCCTCTCGTCGAGTGGGCGTCTACCTCTCTTTCCCCTGAGGTACTAGATTCGCGTTCGCGTGGAGTGTGATTTTTTCTCTGTTCTTGCCAATTATTACTGTAGTAATTACATAGCTACGCCTTTTTCTTGCACTTCACTGTTGCAGGAGCTTCTGTTTTCTGCTATTATTGAGAGCAACCAAGTCCAATTCATCTTTTTAGAAAACACCAAGTCCAATTCTATTTTCTTTGATGCTTGGTTCCTGCTAATCTAATCCATCCATTCTTGGTTCGATTAGGTTCTCGTTCTTCAGTACGTGATATCAATCCACTGAGGCGGTGGGTGCAGCTATTCCCAAATTATATCGGGGGTTTCAGCAGAACCACGTCAATTGCGCCCGTGCGGGTGAGGGATCGTAAGAGCCTGGACTCGTGGTAGAGATGGTGAAGGCAGCAGCAAGGGTCCGGTAATATCGACATTCCCTTGTTTCCTTTGCGTTATTGTGGTGGTATGATTGGTGTGAATGGGGACGCCTCGAGTGCTCAGTATTCTAAATAAACTGGAGCAGTTATATCAATTCATTGTTTTCCCTGCATTTTACTACTTTTTTTTCTGTCCATTTAATTCAATGTGAGTAGGAGTATCACTTAGCTTGTGCATATCTTCCTCTTATCATAAAGCTTAACAAGTTTAGCTAGCCTGCTTGCTACAAATTGAGTTACAGTATACTTTCGACAGTGCACCATGTCTACTTGTATGCTGTGTTCTTTGGCATCTGAACTTTGCGTGAACTGCTGCAGCTATGAGCCTGGACCGGCTTTTGAGGAGGTCAAAGAAGAAGCCATGCTTGACATATCACCAACAGACTCGACAGAGTTTTGGTTAATTCAGTGGCCTAAAGACCAGGTAACATCGATCTTTTGCACCCTAGTAGTGTTCTTATAACGTGCTGCAGTCTTGGCTGTTTGATATCTTAGTGTTTCTTTGTGACGATGCAGTTAGATGTTTTGGATTTTCATGGCAAAGAGCTTTCTCTCAAGCTGAATAGTGATGGAAACTTGGGCAGCTTGGAAAGTTCCTCAGGTAACTTAGCTGATATGGACTGTTTTGAAGTTGCTTTGACTTGATTACATGGTTTAGTTGCATTTCAGCTTTCTGGTTACCCATACTACGCTTTGGGTACCATTCACTACAACTTTGGTCAGATTGGTTTCCCTGAGCATCATCTATATCCTATACTAGAGACATCAATGGAACCGATTGCATTTCCATGCCAAAGATTGTGTCTTGATCTCTTTTTTATATATTAATTAGTGTTCCATAACCTAAACTGCTGGAATTTTAGTTTGTAGTGAAACTATTCTTCTACCAATTTCCTTGTATAATCCTTACGTCATTATGTGATGAAACTATTATTTATGGGTTCTTCAGAATATAAATTGAAACCAAGAGGGTACGACTTACAGTCTTTTATGTGAATAAGGCAGTGCTCATCATCAATATTTAAAAGTGTGATCATTGAAATGAAATTTCCTTGTCAGCTTTATCATGGACTCATGTCTCATAGCACCACATTACTAAGTAGTGTTACTGCAGTCAGTTGTCATGTGGAAAACATCATTGTCCAATTGTTGTGTCAAATAACTATTGAAATTTTTTTCACAAAGAAATATCAGCTGCTGCTAATGCACTTATTTTGCCAGGGAAATCTTATGAGCTTGTGAGCTTTGCAGCTCAGAAACCAGATGCAACTGTCTTCCTGCCTTCAGGGTCAGAAACAAAACCTGGTATGATGAAATACCAACTAATTCCTTTGATTGTGTGATATTATCACAGATGCTTTTGCCTCTTCCATTAGATAAAAATGTTATTAAAATGGTGCTGCATATCTTCATTTTTGGTTTCTTGGGTTAGTTTTACAGGCCATATGGCACTGCATTTGATGGCTTGCTCTCCATGTTTGTTTCTTGCCATTGGCTGAAGCATCAATTACTGTTTCGTGTATATTGTTAATATAATGACCCTTCTGCTACAATAAAAAAAATATACTATGTAAAGTCATATTGAGTTTTGGAAATATATTTTTTGCCCGCCGTGTTACCATGGTAGTGCACTAGTGCTACTTGTTAGTTTGGGTGGTTTTGATCTTTAAGGAGCATACTGAAATAGGAAGAGGAGAAGCAGGACATGATTCCCATCTTTGAAAGATTATTATCTCAAATTGTCTACTTGCAGATAAGGCACACTTATAGTTCTCTGTTTATTGAAGGATAGCAACTGAGATATCTTGGGATATGTTGTTGAATATAACAGTCGAAGTGTGGAAGTTGGATCATATGCCTGCCAACTGATGAGAATATGTCAACCTTTTTTGTTGTAATTCTGATGAATCAGTGCTATTCCACATGGCATATAGTTCGACCCGATCATGAAAACAACTGGCATAGAAGCTATCAGTGGCAGATCTATGTATAACCTGTGGGGCCACCTGGCCCCACATGTTTTGCCAAAATACATTTAACCTCCTTCATAAAACCTGCAATTTATATATATGTTAATTGTGTAATTCTTGCATTAATTGACTTAAAATCAACTAACTTGGGCCCACTGTTTTTTAATTCTGGATCCACCACTGCTATCATTTGATCATGTAAAACATGGAAATTAGTCTAAATCATTATTCTCTTTCTTAAGTTGGTGTGTGACATCTGGAGTAAATATAATTATTATGTTTAATATTTTTTTAATGAAGCCCATAAAGAAAACAGAGCTAAAGATAAACATACTCTGCTTAAGAATCATAATGGTTTTTGGCACTAGAGGTAAATACCCATCACCTTCTTGTGTTAGAGGCACTATTTTGGCTTTTCTAACCTGTTATTCATGTTGCATGCTCTTTTTTATGTAAATATTTTTCACACTGACAAACAAATGAAATACAGTGGGGAAGATTTCACGGCGAGTCTCCTTAGTTCATTATCCTAAACCTGAGGAATTGGCTAAACCAAGTTTTGGGAGTCTTACTCCTAGCAGTAAGAAATCTGCAGGTAATTCTTTCTTAACATATGTTTTCTTCACTGATCGCACTTTTCTACTGCTAGCCAAGTTAGGCAGCATATGGCGTTGCAGATATTCATGGCTGGCAGTTTAATCTTGCTACCACTTGGTTTTCTGTTGAAGTTCTTATTATCATAACTGATCAACAAAGGAAAAGACAAGTCTGGTCCAACTGTATTATCATCTCTGTTGGAAACCGTTAGGCATACTACCTTCTTGATTTATGTTTTCAGTGCTAGTTAAAAAAAAAACTGCTCTTTTATCCTAAGAAAAGTAGATACACTAAGAAGATAAGGAGTATGGACATTGGCCAAAAATGTCCATAAAATTTAGTAACCTTTTCTGGCGCACAATATTTTGATGATATACTCTTATCCATTTGAGTTTACTGATAACCGATGCCTCCTTCCTGTAACTTACATCAGTCAAAAGAAATGCAGCCAGTTCTCTTGCATGCCATTCTTCTTCTTTTCTTCTTTTTCCTATAAGGGACATCTTTGTTGAACTGTGGTTGCCCGTGTTCCCACTTTCACAGGTTCTAAGAAGACCATGTCTCGGTTCATTAGTGCATCAAAGAACCGCAGTAGCCAAGGTTCGGCGCTTTCACTGGGCCAAAGGAGTGCAGAGCCGACACCCAAACACAAGGGGAAGAGAAAGGATGAAAGCAGCCTGGGGCACTCAAATGTATCAGGCAAGGCCTCACAAGGATCTCAAGCTGGAGGCGCGGGGAGCAACATGGCCTCAGAGATGCCACAATCGCCATCAGAAAAATCACAGAAGAAGAGGAAGAAGGTTAAGATCGTGGAGTAGTACTGTAGTAGTGTCGCCTTGGCAAGAGATCAATTTCCCTTGAACTATCAGTAGTTGAGGAGCTGTGCTGAAATTCACGTTCAAGTTTCTTCATTCATTTCTGGTTTCAATTTTATCCATGCAGAATGTTTTGCTGGAGTGTCAGGTGTTGTTTGCCGAATATACCTGGGAGCAGCCTGTTGCATTTTGTTTTTGGTATCTGAAAGGCTATGTATGTTGGGTTGTTCCTGTTGGTGTGCTGAGCTGAAAGCAGAGTCCTAGCAGCTGCTATAGTGTTATTGCTGCTTGAGCATCTGAAAGCCTCTTTTAGTTGCTTGCTCTCGTTAAGCATAATCTAACCTGAGCATCATGCCCCTGCTAAACTCGTTAATAAATTCCTAAATGCTCGATCGTCTTCTAATTTCAAATTGGTAACAATTCTGTTGACAACCGTTACAGCATTACAGTAGTCAATTAGTTCAGTGATCATACAGCAGGGTATCCTGAAATGCTACACCGCCTAAAACGGCAAAAATTCTTCATGCTATAGTTACAAGTACAGCATGACACTGTGGACACCTCGTGTAGATGTTGAGAGATCAATGGTGCCCGATTACTCTTCGAGTTCGTGGTAGAACCTCGTGTGCACAGGATTCTGGCTGCGATCTTCGCTCGACCGGCACACGGTGAGCTGAGCCTCTGCCGATGCCTTCCGCATCCCCGACACCCAGCCTTGGATGACGTGCTCATCTACCGGAGCTCCTCCCTCTTCTCCCACCGTGACCAGCACCAGCTGCTCCAGGGCAGGGGCCCTCTTCAGGAGGAAGGCCAGCAGCTGCAGCTGGAACCTCGTCCCTCGGAAATTCACCAGCTTGATGAAGCTCAGGTGGTCAAGGACGAAGTCGAAGTGTTGAATCATCATTCTTGAGTCGTCGACGGGGACGATCGCGTAGCCGGGAATCATCATTCTTGAGTCGTCGACGACCTCGCCGGCCAGTGCTGCCGCCGCGTCGCTTGCATCGGTAGTGTGGCTGGGGACCTGCGGGTTTCAGAAAGTAATGTCCCGTTCAGAAATAGTACTGTATTTGCTTGCACTGTTGCACGTGGAAGTTGGAGGATGGGCAGCAGGAAAAGGCAGAGCTTTACGCTGACGAACAAGCGGTCCAGGAGTGGAAGCGGGTTGAGCTGTAAGAAAGAGGCGAAGCTCTGGAGGTCGTCGTCTTCACCTTCCGAGGACAGCAGCAGCTGCAGCTCTTGTATGTTCGTCATATCAATGTCCACGCACTCATCGTAACCTAGCTGTGCCCACAAATGCTGATCCGCGAGTAAAATTAGTGGTCAGTAAATTTCATGGCATTTCCATAATTTAAATTTCATACCAGCAAGCCGACGGAACAGAGCGTCAGAGCCCGGGCATGAGCGACGCAGCTCAAGAAGTTGGAGTAGGCGTACTCGCGATCCTGGTACGCGTTCACGTCGTCGTCGAAGCCGATGTGAGAAAGGTACGCCTGCCGCAGAGCCGGCGTGGAGCCCAGGTCGACGGCAGAAGAGAGGTCGTCGTAGTCGCTCGAGTAGACTGTGTCGCCGTGGAAGGCGAACGACTCGAGCGCGGGCGCGTTGACCCGGAGATCCCGCACGGCCGGGCAGCGCACGATCTCCAGGACCCGCAGCGTCTCGCTGGCGATCCTAACTGATTTCAGCAGGTTGCAGCTGCTCAGGCTGAGGAACTCCAGCGCGCGGCAACTGGACACGACACCGCGAACCGCCTCGCCTGTGACGTCGGCGTGACTGAGGGAGAGCGATCGGAGACCCGCGAGCCCGGCCGCGCCGGCCGGGACGGTGCGGAGGCTGAACCCGCCGAGAGCGAGGCGCGCCAGCGAGTTCGTGGCCACGAACAGGTCGCCAGGGAGCTCCACGAACGCCGCGCTTTCGTCAACGGCGCCCCGTTTTGTCGGCGGCGGCCTCAGGTCCATTTCCACCTCCCTGGCGCCCCCCGCCACGGCGGACGCGACCCAAGCGCCGACGTCCCGCTCGAACGCGCCGGCGCCCGTGCCCTGCGCCGGCGACGTAAGCGCCACGCGGAACACGTCGAGCGGCGCACAGCGCTCGGCGTGGAGCCGGAGAGAGTAGCTCACCGTGGCGGCCGCGGCCCGCGCCGGCGCCTGGCCGCGTCCGAAGTCGCGGTCGGTGAAGTCGAGGACCCGGGAGGAGGCGAGAGGGCGCTGGTGCGCGCGGCGTGCTTGAGTGGGAGGCCGCGGAGGATGGAGTGGAGGATGTCGTCGGGGAGCCTGCTCAGCCGGTCCTCCCCCTCCTGTTCCTGTACCTCGATGGCTCCACTCTTGCTCCGGTGGCGCGATTGCATCTCCATGTCAAGCGGGGGTGCGATGCCAGTGCGGGATCACTATGGTTCAGACATGTTGGGTGCTTTCACAAAACCTTTATAGTACTCGGCAGCTACTCAGCTCGTTGTGCTGGTAGGTAGAACAGTAGATTTTAGATTTTTTTGGATGATTAAATAGTATTATGTAAGAGAGAATAAGCTAAATAAGCTGGAAATAGTATAGCCAAATGGGGTGAGTATTAGTTAGTAGTACTAGCAGCTTACATCGCAAGATTGGGTAAAAGACAGAGCAGAAGCACAAAACTTGAGTGAGCGACAACGACCTGAGACGCATCACCATGTTGGAGTGTCGTTGGCGCGCCTGCTTGCGACACAAGGAGGCGTGCTACGCAACCGGTCAAACATAGGTTCAGACTACTTGTCCAAGCCGGTTAACAATTAGTACATAAAAAATTAGCTAGGGTGAAATGAAATTGAATAATAGCAGAGCATAAATATAATAGATTTTGACCGTTAACTTTTTATAATATAATATTATATTATCGTTTGCCAGTCAAATCACATCATCACACATGCAGTTTTAATATATTTCTATTGATATAAGTTTTATGTCCCAAGCTTGTATATAATTTGATTTTTTTTTGTCAAAGTTTATATAAGTTTGACTTTTTTATATAAAATATAAGAGATTTGCTAAATTTCAGGGGTATGAATTTTAGCTTTCTTTCAGGTGAAAGTTATTGCATATATTTTATGCTAAAATTTCAATTTTAGTTTGTTACAATTTCTGTAGACACAATTTGCAATTTTGACACCGTACAAAGTTATAGATCTCATCGAGATAATGACCTCAAATGAAAAAACGTAAAACTATAAAGTTGTAGATCTCATCAAGAGCTATAACTTTTATGTAAAAAATATCTTCATTTGGCACCATAAAAAAAGATAATAAATTTTTCAAGGCGATAAAACTTGTACGAGATTAATACGAAGCTGAAACTTTATATTTTTTTGAGCATCTCATTGATCTCAAATGCAAAAACTTAAAACTATAAATTTGTAGATCCTATCGAGAGTTACAACTTTCATATAGAAAATATCTTTATTTGACACCATATAAGAAATGTATGATTTTTCTAAGACGACAAGAGCTTGTACGTGATTAATATACTGCTGAAACTTTATTTTTTTTAGCATCTTAACGACGTCAAATGAAAAAACTCAAAACTAGAAAGTTGTAGATCTCATCGAGAGCTACAACTTTAATATAAAGAGCATCTTCATCCATAGATTACATGAAAAAAATATAATTTTTCTAAACTACGCCTTGCCGCACCAATCTGGTTGGCACGGCGCTACATTTCTGCCATGCCAACGGAGTGTCATGGCAAGGTTGTCCACGTGGAAATTGTTGTCCACTATGACAGATCGTGCCACGTCGCGACAGCGTGTTTTTGTCGCGTCAAGGACTTAGATGCGGCCAAACAGGTTAGATTTAAAAATAAAAAGCAACTACGTTAGATTTAGAATTTGTTAAAAAAGGTTAAAAAAATAAATCTGTCGCAAGCAGGCGCCAACGCCCAACGACACTCAAGTGCCAATATAAAGCGCGGATTCTCTTGCAGTCTTGCTAGAGAAGCCTCATGGAATGGGATGCATTTGCGTGTTTCTTCTCGACCTAGGCCTTAGATTGCAAGTTTTTTCATTCTCTCTTCATCACATTAAATCTTTAGACATATATATGGAGTATTAAATGTAGATAAAAAAATAACTAATTACACAGTTTGATTGTAAATTACGAGACAAATCTTTTGAGCCTAGTTAGACCATGATTAGACAATAATTATCAAATACAAACAAAAGTACTATAGTGCCACGTACTGATTTCTAACTCCAATCCAAACGAGGCCCTATTTGCCCAAATTATACTGTAGCGCGCAGCTGTAAAAGATAGCTATTGCCGGGTAATAAATCGAAGAGACTTTTCTAGTACTGCCAGGGTATAAAGGATTTCATTTGTGAAAGAAAAATTAGCAGCATCTTGTTCACCATCTTTAATCCTGTCCTCCATGCCACTTCCGTTAGTTGAATCTAACGCAAACTTTCACCCGAAAATGCAAGCGCGGATCTCGTGACTTGAATGAAAAAACTCAAAACTAGAAAGTTATAGATCTCGTTGAGATCTACAACTTTCAGTTTAAAATTTTCATTCATTTCGTTATTGCTCAAAAAAATTAATAACATATTTGAACTAAGATATATTTTCATCTTTTTACACCGCAGCTTTGACGGCTTAATATTTAGAATCTCGAATCTAATTTGAAGTGGCATGGAGGACCAAAAGTTAGAGAGTAGTGGCGCTCAAGACCGCGACACACCTCTTTTATAATGATCACATCCTCTCATAAAGGAAAGGGTTTGTGAAAGCACCCAAAGACTCGTGACGCACCATCGCACCCATCCGACACGAAATGCGAACGCACTCCCGGCAAGCGGATCCATGGAAGAGGAGGACAGCAGCGGCCTCCCCCGCGACCTCCTCCACTCCATCCTCCGTGAGCTCCTCAAGCACGCCGTCCAACGAAGCGCCTTCCTCCGACGGGGGCGCCAGACTTGGCCTCCTCCCGGTCTCGACTTCACCGACCGAGACTTGGCCTGCGCCAGCACCGCTTCGCTGGCCGCGGCGGCCACGATGCGTCGCTGCCTTGAGCTCCACGCCGAGCACGGCGCCACTGGACGTGTTCCGTGTGGCGCTCATGTTGCCGCCCGTGGTCGAGCGACGGCGTTCCGTTCGATGCGCGGCGGCTGGCGTAGGGGCGCCAGGAGAGTCGAGGTGAATCGACATCGACACCGCACACGGGGACGGAGCTCGGTGGAGGCGAATCCAGGCTCCGGCCCGCTTGCGTGCGGGTTACGAAGGACCGGTAGCTTGCCAAAGTAGAAAGGCCTGTTACTACGTACACTAGGCTGGGAGTCATAATAGCTGCCTATTTTTTTTTAATAATGACTTGCTAGCTTTTGCATTCAGTTCTCATTATGTAGCATGACACCTCACTCGTTGTATAATAAGCTGAGACCTACGTATACTACCATAAAATCCTATCGGGCTACATGCTTAGCACTTAATTAGCCCCCTTGATGTTGAGTCACGCTCCGTCGCTGACCGACACCGACACTTAGGGGCCTGGTTCCAGACTCCGACGACGGAAGCGCGGAGTTCGTGGAGCTGCCTGGCGACCTGTTCGTGGCCCGGAACTCGCTGGCGCGCCTCGCGCTCGGCGGGTTCAGCCTCGGCGCCGTCCCGGCCGCTCCGGGCGGGCTCGCTGGTCTCCGCTCGCTCTCCCTCAGCCACGTCGACCTCGCAGGCGAGGCGGTTCGCGACGTCGTGTCCAGCTGCCGGGCGCTGGAGCACCTCAGGCTGAGCAGCTCCGGGTCCTGGAGAGAGTGCGAATCGATTAGGATCGCCAGCGAGACGCTGCGGGTCCTGGAGATCGTAGGATGCATAGACGTGAAGCAGGTCCGGGTCACCGCGCCCGCGCTCGAGTCGATCGCCTTCCACGACGACGACTTCTTCTGGGAGGACGCCGACGACGTCGTCTTCGACTTCGACGACGACATGCCGGCTCTGCGGGACGTGTACCTTTCTCGAATACGCTTCGCCCACGACTCTGACGAGACCGAGTTTGACTCCTTGTTGAGCGACGTCGAGCATGCCCCGGTTTGGACGCTTTCCTGCGACGGCTGGAATTTGCGGGTGCGGTTCGATACGACGAACATACAGGAGCTGCAACTGCTGATAGCCTCCGAAGATGATTATGACGACGACCTCGAGGTCTTCGCCGGTTTCTTCCAGGAGAACGAGCTTCCACTCCTGGACCGCTTGTTTCTCCGCGTAAAGCTCTCTGCCTTATCTCATCCTCCAATATCCACGATTCGACGTCCATGCAATTTGCAAGGAGATATTTCCGAATCGGCTCACGCTCACAGCAAGTTAATTACTTTCTGAAATCCGCAGTTCCCCGGCCACGTTACAGATGCAAGCGACGCCGACGCGGCGGCAGCACCGGCCGGCGAGGTCGTCGACGACTCCGAACGCGAGATCGACGACGAATTTGTGCTTGACAGCCTCAGCTTCATCAAGCTGGTGAATTTCAGAGGGACGAGGTTCGAGCTGCAGCTGCTCGCCTTCTTCCTGAAGAGGGCCCCTGCCCTCAAGCAGCTGGTGCTGGTCACGGGGGGAGAAGAGGGAGGAGCTCCGGGTCCCGGAGATGAGCACCTGGAGGTCATCCAAAGGCAGGTGTCGGCGATGCGGAAGGCATCCCCACACGCACGTCTCACCGTGTGCGGGCCGTGCCAAGACCGCAGCCAGAATCCTGTGCACACGAGGCTCTACGACGAAGAGTAATCGGGCCCGGCCCCATTTGATCGATCTCTGAACAGATGGATTTTTCGGGCAGTGTTGTTGTGTGAGATTGCTATGGACGTGTGAAGGTGGGTTTACAGATCAAGTGGTTGAGAGAGTTTCCAAAACTCACGCTCAACAATTTCCTATTCTTTTAACTTCCAATCTTTCCGTATTTGAAAAAATTGACCTAATAATAGCTTGGAAATGGAAAAATAACGTGCCTATTGATATGCCATTATGGAGGTGGAAGGACGTGGGGGAAGGACAAGAAATAGGACAGGGTTTTCAATGCAAATGTACAAGAGAAAATATATAAGTGATTAGAGTGAATTAAAAAATAGTCTAGAATTCATGATGTAAAATTATCTTCTATATTTTTAGAGTGATTTAAAAAATAGTATAGAATTTCTAATATAAAATTGTGTTCTATATTTTAGGAGTGTGATTTTAAAAACTGTTGGAGAAGCTTAATAAATATACGGGTGCCTATTGATCGGCTAATATGGAGGTGGAAGGATGTGAGAAAGAATGAGAAGTAGAACAGGTTTCCCAATGCAAATGTAGAAGAAAAAATATAAAAGTGGTTAGAGTGATTTGAAAATAGTTTAAGATTCCTGATGTAAAATTGTATTATATATTTTAGGAGTGAAATTTTAGAACTATTGAAGAAGCTCAACAAATGTACTCACAGCTTTTTTAGTTACTTGAAAAATTCATTAATTTATCAGTTGATTTTTTGGGAGCTATTGGAGATGGAATAAAATCCTCAAACTTCGACTTGGATGACTGCAGTCGAAGAAGGACGGTTGTTCCATCACAATCGGGACGTCCACCATCTGTGGGAACAACGACCGGATCCATATAGCACTAAAAAAACACTTATTTCTTGTTGGACTTGCTTGCTAAGCATGTAAGTGCGTTGTTTACTAATATAAAGTGCACCCTGAATGACGAGCAACTCGATGTCAGAAAATCGCGAGTCATATATCTGTAGCAAGGCATATCGTTTAATTTTGGATTCTGTATTATGTTTCGGCCTTGTTATCTTGTATTGCCTCACTGTGTGCTTTCTCACTGCTATATTAGACCTATCACAAGCAGTTCGTAAACTTCATCATAAGTATTTTTCGGTCTCAGCAGTGAGTTGTTGGTGATGACATTCTCAACACAGTCGGTTTTACGATCGGTGGTGACAATAGATTATCACACTCGGTTCATATTACTGTGGGGGTATAACCCGGTACCCACAGGGCAAGACATGGGCTACGCCATCAGAGGTGGCACAACCCATAAGATCAAGGCGTGCGGCGCACGGCACTAGTCGGTGTGCACCATAAAGCTACAAGAAGATGTGATTTATTAGATATTGTATAATACTAAATATAATACTTTTCTTGTAACCCGACTTCTCCAGAGCATATAAAGAGGGGCAGGGGTCCCCTAGTCGACATCCCCATATAGATTCTAGGGTTAGCCTAAGGCATCTGATCATACACAATACAATCCACAGAGACACATGACATATGGTATTACGCCAAGTCGACGACCTGAACCTGTCTAATCGTTGTCTCTTACGTTCTGTGTCACCATCCAGTTTTTTTACGCGCATCTCCACTGATTTATTTACTACCGTGGCCATGATAGACTGCTGTACGTATTTCGTCGACAGTGACGCGCCAGATAAAAGGTGTATGTGTTGATCATGACGAACCAGATGACGTACCTCAAAGATTAACACCATCCATGACGAACCAGACTACGTACCTCAAGATTAACACCATCCAGCGGCAACTCAGCATCGGGAACATGCACGAGATTGATTCTCTGTCCTTCGTGCCGTTGTCGCCAAGGGCGTCCACTATTTTCTGCCGATCTAGTCAGTTTGCTGTCCTCGAAGTTGAAGACGAAGCCAGGTGCATCACGTGATGGCTCAGGCCCGCGTGGAGCCAAGTTCGACTCCGACCTGTGCTCACGAGCCTCTGCTGTCTCCGCTCCGCCGAGTTCGACTCCGACCTCTAGATGCAAAGCCCGAAGAAATCCATCTACGTGTCGACCATGAAAGCCTCAATGGAGTCAATCGGCCATGATAATCAAACTTGCATCTCCGCGTGCATACACGCGTATGGAAGATGCAAGATCAATACGCCGAGTTACAACATTAAAAGCTAAGTCTTATCTCTTTTTTCCAGTTAGGTATTATACTGCATGTGTATATCTCTATGCATCTACATGCGCTTTCATGGTTATCCGCAGCGGCAATCGTCGTCATCTCACATCCTCGACTTGTCGTCATCACGGTTGACCTACACGCTGCGTCTCTCTTCGCCAGCACCATCCACGACAACCCGACGACCTAGGAGTCCCACGTCGACACGACATTCTAGTGCTGGCACCGATCCACGGGTCCACGGCGGCAGCATTGAGCGGTGCTTGCATCGCGGCGCTGGAATTCGTCGTCAGGCCGCAGGCCTAATCAGTGATAACCATCGCCGTATTGACGTGGAGCTAGAACACAACAAGAAGCCAGGAAAGACGGATATCGATCAGTCTACATATACGAACATGCAAACCTGATCACATACACCTCTTGATGACGGGAGCCTTTGATGACACGACACGCTCAGCTACTCGCTAAGCGAGCTGCTCCGACCATCAACCGAGCCGCCCGAGCCGACGAGCAAGCCGCCCGGACTGCTCAATCCGATCACCTGCCGCGTCGTAGCGATGATCGCCACGAAGAATGACGTCGTGACAATCGTGACCGCCGCCACGACGACAGGCCAAAAAGCTCGAGGGCCGAGCAATTTGGTCGACGCCGACCAGGCATTCTGTTTAAAGTTAAGTCACGCTTTAATATTTTTTCTAAATATTTTCCAACCTTCATATATCTCCGTGATGTTTCTCTGAACTGTTTTCTCCATGTTTGTTCTCAAAACGATTTTCTTTCATGTATACCATCTTAAAGATGACATACAGCTAAGCCTAAGGTAAATCCCCGAACAACCATGTTGATGCTCGGATGTTCCCAGAGACGGTCCTGTCTCCGGCTTCTTCCTACACATGCACGAGCGCCTGTCCTCTGCGTTAGAGGTGGTCGACAGCGGCTCCTTAGTGACGCCCTGCTCTTCCTACACGCATACGGGCTCCGCGCTCCGCGTTATGATTAACAGGCTAGCTAGGGCTGAAGACTCAGCTACACACTAACTAGTCGGACGATTTATATTAAATATAAACACTTCTTTAGAATAACACTAAGTGTTCACACCAACTGATCACCGAGTTGCATACGCTATTTCATCGTCATTGCTGATTCTTCTTCGGGGTTCATATATTTTATTTTTACATCATGTACTACCCATTCTACATATTTGTTTCGCAGGGGCATGGTTCGATCAACGAGCTTACGCTCAGGGACTGGACACGGTGATCGTCGTCCGGGTGGTCGGACCACCTATCGGACGGACTTCATCGCCAACCAACTGGTCGGACTACTCGGCACTCACTCCTGCTCGGCGTTCAGTTCGCCGGCAACCAGTTGGTTGGACTGCTCATCGCATGGGCTTCATCGTCAGCTACGCTGGGGACTCCTCGGTGTCCGGATTCTTCGTGCAAGCATTGCTAGCTAAGCTGGGGACTCCCTTGGTGGTCGGATCTTGCTACGTCTTATTGGTGTGCTATCAAGTTGCTTCATGCTGTTCGGATCAGGGTGCTGATCTTGGGCCGCATATCTGGGGTCTTGTGAAGTACATGGCACATGACGTTCGCAAGCTTTCATTAAAAATTCTTTGACCATGCTACAAGATATCTTCAAAATCTTCCAGCAGGCTCAGGGACTACGTGTGTACACGTCCTCTCGCGATGACTGTATTTATTTCTACACTGGTTTCCAACGACATTGGGGATTGGGCCAGCACCTGAAGACTACTACTTTAGACCCTGGCACCACGTGACTACTTTACCTACTGTCAGGCTCGGGGACTAAGTGGGCACACTTCATCTCGCGGTAAATGTGCTTATTTTTTGACTTAATCTTCTACAAAGTGACTAAGTTCCTTCGCGCTGACTAAGTCAAGGACGCTAAGCATCTAACTTCGACGCCCGGAACCTAAGTGGGCACACTTCATCCAAGATGGAGACTTTAATTTTTTTTATCATGAGCCCCTTACATCCTTCTGGCAAACCTCAACTTCGAGTAAGTCTGGGCTGGCTCACAGTTGAATTGCTCGGACGCCGTTCCCACTGCTCGGACAACAGCTCAAATGACAGTTCAACTGCTCAGACGCCTATTCAACTGCTCGGATGCTCGCTTTAACATCTCGGCTCCCAGTTAAACTGGTCAGACATCTATTCCTGATGATCAGCAGCAAGTTGGACAGCTCGGACAAACTCAAGACGGTGTTGCTCAGCGGATACAAGACGCTCGGGGACTAGCTGTGGGGATATGAACCCCGGTACCCACAGGACAAGACATGGGCCGTACCATCAGAGGTGGCCCAGCCCACAAGATTAAGGCGTGCGGCGCACGACATTGATCAACGTGCACCACATGGCTACAAGAAGATATGATTTATTAGATATTGTATAATACCAAATAGGATATTTTTCCTTGTAACCCGACCCTTCCAGAGCATATAAGGAGGGGCAGGGGTTCCCTACTCGACATCCCCATACAGATCCTAGGCTTAGCCTAAGGCATCTGATCATATGCAATACAATTTATAAAGACATAAGACATAGGGTTTTACGCCAAGTCGGCGGCCTGAACTTGTTTATTCGTTGTCTCTTGCGTTATGCGTCACCATCCAGTTCTCTCACGTGCACCTCCACCGATTCATCTACTACCGTGGGCATACCCCTCGGTAGACTGTCGGACGTATTTCGTCGACAATTACCGGTCGGCGGCGGTTTGAATTTCCAAAAATCCTCAAAATGGGCTAAAAATAGTAAATTTTTTGTCTTCTATATTTGCAGCAAAGCATATCACAGGCCATGCGATTTTT